CAAAGTTAAATAGTTTTATTTTTCATTTTTCAACCAACCAATTTACCTTTGGCTTTCTTTTCATGTGTTATTGCTCTGACTGTCTTTCAGTCCTATGTTTAATAAAAGTAGTGCTAATGGCTATCTTCACCCAGCTCCCAACATTAAGAGAGACATCTTGCCCTTCATCATGGGGTGTCATAATAGCTTATAAGGATTTTGTAGATAGTCATCATCATATTTAGTAAATTTCTATCTCATGTTTAGTCTACTTTCTTTTTAAATATATTTTATTTATTTGTGGGCAGGGCACACATGTGTAGGCCAGATGACAGCTTTTTGGGAGTTGGTTCTTTTCTTCTACCACGTTTGTCCTCGGGATGGAACTCAGGTCATCAGACTTGGCAAGAAATGCATTTACTCATTGAGACATCTTGCTGGCCCTCATATTTATTTTCCTAAAGTTTTTGTCTTGGATGGGCATGGATTTTAACAAATTCATTTTCTGCATCAGTTGGTGTGATCATGTGCTTTTTTTGTTTAGTTCTTTACTCTGGTGGATTACATTGTTCAATTCCAAATACTGAACCAGTCCAGCTTTTCTGAAATAGCTCCTACTTGATTATGGTATATTATTTTAATACTGCTTAACTCTATGAATAAATACTTGCTTAAGAATTTTTCTGTGCTCACAGGGATATAGTCTATAGCTCTCTTTTTTGCATGCACTTTTCTGGTTTAGGTATCAGGGTAACATGACCTCACAACATGAACTGGAATGTTCTACCCTTCTTTATACTTGGTGTTATTTTCTTTTACTTTTTGGTAAGAATTCTCCAGTGGAACCTGCTAGGTCTAAAGACTACTTTTTCAAAAATCTTTAAACTGTGTAATGGATGAGGCTTTTCAAATTACATATTTTATATTGAGTGAACTGTGATAGTTTGTGAAATTTATCAGTTTGACCTAGATTTTCAAGTTAATGTTATTCATATTTTTATGTCGACTTGACACAATTTAGAACTAGAACCATCATCAGAGAGGAGGAAGCCTCAGTTGAGAAAATGCCTCCGTAATGTTCTGCTGGAAGACATTTTCTTAATTAGTGATTGATGGCGAGGGCCCAGCCTGTGGTGGGCGGTTCCACCCCTGGGCTGGTGGTTCTGGGTTCTATAAGAAAGCAGGTTGATTAAGCCATGAGGACCAAGCCAGTAAGCAGCACCCCTCCATGGCCTCTGTATCATCAGCTCCTGACTCCAGGTTCCAGCCCTGTTTGAGTTCCTGTCCTGACTGCTTTTGGTGATGAGTTGTTGTGTAGAACTGTGATCAAAACAAACCCTGTCCTCCTCAAGTTGCTTTGGTCATGGTGTTTCATCACAGCAATAGTGACCCTAAGACATATGGTATTTCCTGATTGTTCTTTAGATATTTCTGGGTCTGCAGTGATCTAATGTTTTGTTTTTTCTTTTTACATTTTGTTCCTAATAATGTGTGTCATTATTTTTTTTGTCAGACTCGCTAGGGGTTTGGTAGAAAGGGTTTTGTTATTTTTGTTTGAACATAGGGTCTCATTATGTAGCCTAAGCTGTCCTGGAACTCACTGTGTAGACCAGGCTGGCATAGAACTCACAAAAAGCCTTCGCCTTTGTCTCTCTAGTGCTGGGTTTAAAGGTGTATGCTACCAAGCCCAGCTATTAGATTTTTTTATGTAAGCATTTTTGTTTCTCTTTTAAAAATTACCTTTTATTCTACTTACTTTACTATACTGCTTATCTGATTTTCATTTTACTGATTTCTGCTTCTGTATTTTGTTTCCATCTTTCTTGTTGGTACCCAGCTCTACCTAGACACCCAAGTGAAACAACATGTACTATTGTTGAAAAATAAATATGGTGCTAGCTCATTGTATTTTTCCAGATGTGTATAAATAATGATTATTTAAGTATAGACACTGACATTTACAGAAATTGCATCAAAACAAGTTCCTTCCAAAATAAGGTAACGAGAGTGATTGGTTTTTCTTGGCTTGTGATGTTATTTGGTGGCCTCACGTAATTTCTGTAACACGGTTCTTATTTTAAACTGACTCAGAAATCCCCTGATACTTACTGTGGTGTACTGAACCCTGAGAACTCAGTAGGATCAGAGTTTACTTTCTTACTTGTTCCTTATTTCTTCAGCTGCTGATGAGTGGTTAGCTAGCTGCTCAGAAATAGGACCAAGGAAAGTCTTGGAGTTCTACTGTACATAACTAGAGGTTAGCTGTGATTCCTTCCCTCCTTCTTCCCTTCCGTTCCCTTCCCTTCCTCTTTCCTTCTTCTTTTTCCCTCTTTTTCCCTCTTTCCCTCCTTTCACACTGTCTCTCTACATAGTCCTGGCTGACCTGGAAATCACTATGCAGACCAGACTGGCCTTCAAACTCACAGAGATCCACCCACCCCTGCTGCCAGAATGCTGGGTGGGATTAAAGGTATATGCCACCATACATAGCTAGCTGTGATTTCTTGACCATGACTAACTTCAAGTCTGTTTATGAAGAAAAAAAATGAATAAAACTACAGTTTCAAAGCCAGGTCCCTTCTTTCCATAAGTCTAAATTATATTTTTAAATTAATGTTTTGTGATTGATATTTTAAAATGTAATGGGAAATTCTCCAATATTTTAGTTAATATACAAACTGTGTATTTTTTTAGACTCTTGAATAAGTGCTGTTATTCACAAATGACATAATTTTGGCGACTTAGAGGGGTTATGAAATTATATCAACAGATGAACATATGTATCCCAAACACATTATGTTGGTGCGATGACTGTTTTCTTGGAGTACATACATGAAATGGTAGTGAGGATTGGGTAGAGAGGTAGTGGAAAGACATAAATCCCGCTAGCCTTTGTACCCCACAGGGAAGTAATACAATTATTCAAGGGCAAGTAAGAACACTCTGGTATTAATCTTATTAGACTGAGAAATGATGGTAACATTCTCTTCAAGATAGCATAAAGAATAAAGATGAGAAGAAACCCTGGGCTGTTTATGTAGCAGTGTTTGTTACTTGATTTTTAAAATGATGCAGCCTTATACTTAGAAATCTTAGCAGAAATAACTGGGGTCCCTGAGTCTGCAGGTCAAAGTTGGAATTGTGCCCGTACAGTTTCTACCTTTTGCTTATTTGTTGTGCTTGGTTGGGCTTTTTTTTTTATTTTAAGAGAGGGTCTCTCTATATATAACAGTTCTGGTTGTTCTGGAGCTCACTTTTGTAGACCATGCTGTCATTGAACTCACAGAGATCTGCCTGCCTCTGACTCCCAAGTGCTGGAATTAAAGGTGTACGCCACCACCGCCCTGCTCTTTTCTATTTTCGTGACTGTAGGCAAATTGTTTTACCTCGAACTCACAGTTTTCTCACCAATTAAATAGTGACAATCATAGTGTGTTGATTTGATGAAGAATTCTTGCACTAGGGCTGCAGGGTGCAACTCAATGGTAGAATGTTTGCCCAGCATGTGCAAGGTCCTCGTTTTTATCCCCAGTGTTATCACCACTACTTCCAGAAGCCCCCAAACATTCTCTCATTAAATATGCTGTTTGACACATGATACTCTCTTTCTAAGTTTTAGCTGTTTATATCATGTTATTAATATTATTATTACAATCCCCCAAGCAATAATAAAACTGACATTAAAGAAATCCTGGTTTGTCTTTCTGGTATTTTTTACAGTTTTTAATATGCTATAGTAATTTAGAAAGTACAGTTTAAGCCGTATTCTTATCTGACCATGTAACTAATTGAAAGAATCATTTTATGAGACATCATTATCTCACATTTTTTCAAGGGAGACAATGGAATGAGAATTTTGAGCATTGCCTATCACAATATTTCTCAATTTTTCCAATTAACTGTAGTGAAAATTTAGTACCAGAGATCTGCTGTATCTCTTGTTATTTTATAATGCTTTTCAATGGCTTCAAACGTACCCAGTATGTTTTTGTGTATGTCCCACAGGAACCAGTTTTTACACTCATAGGGATGCTATTACTCCCACCAGAAATACCTGATTTAGTGCAATGTCTGAACTAAGGGTGATTTTACTACCTGGAAGACATCTAGGAATTTTTGGAGATCTTTTTGAGTTGTTATATGCTGGGGCAGTTGGGGTTGTTGCTGTCGGCATCCTGTAAGTAGAAGGCAGGATCCCACAGTGCACAGGAGAATGGCTCCCCACAACAAATATTCATTGTGGATTCAAAAGCCCTTAGTGCTGAGTCTATAGAACCATATCGTAGCATGATGTGAAGTTCAATGTTGTCTGAATAGTCCAGAAATCATTAAGGAAAGTGAAAGGCCACAACAAGCCAGAGACCTCAAAGAAATAGAAGAGCCAGAGTTGGATTCTTGGCCTTCAGATTGAAGCTGTGGACAATGTTGTTTTTCTTCTGTAGAAAAAGAGTGGCCGTCTCTATCTTCTAAGTATTGTTTTGTTTTAGTAATACAGTGGGTTTTGTTCTTCCTATTAACCATGTATAAAATATACACATACTTTAAATACATGTTCATTGTTTAGTAACATGTACTTACTACATGTTTCTGCTTTCTTTTTTATGGAATCATCTTGCTTTATGAAACTGATGAACTCCTGGTATTTTTGTAGATTAATTTTATACGCTATACATTTATTCATCTGATTTTGTTGTGTTATATTTTTAGGGGCTTGACGTCATTCTCAATCGTTCCTCATTTGATCTAGCTCTTAACATTGCTGTTTTAAATTTAGCAGTTTCTCTGCCTCTTGGGTTTTAGAGAATAGGGACAACCAGATTGTTATGCAGCCTCCATGGTTGGCACTTACATAGTGTTTTCAAGACTTTGGGTTCCATTCCCAGCACTGACCAAAAAAGGGACTATGAATTTCTGTTGAAGGTGAGATAGCTTTCTTCATGGACATGGTCCAGGTTGGATGCCAGAGCTCCTGGTACCTGTGTTGTCCTGTCGTGTTCACATTTCCTTCTTCTGATGCCCAGAGTTGGTGTGGAAGAGCTCTCCGAAGAGGACTGGAATGAACATCGCTGGCAGTACTTCAGGTGACGCAGACACTACTAAGAAAATAATTCATTGAGGTTTTCTTTTCTCTTCTAACTCGAATGGTTTCTCTTTATGCTGTTTGCTTTTTCTTTCCTGAATGTGCCAATTCTCACTCCATGGGAAACAGGGAAATGAGTTCTAATCATTCTTTCCTTTCTTCCTTCATGTTGATTGGTGTGTCAATGTTATTGGGACTATGTGCTTTCCTCCCACATTTTCGGTCATGTGTTTTCAACCTCAGAGCCTGAGGTTGGTACAGCTGAGCTTAGTGTTAAGGACAGCTTATTTTTAGAGTCACCTACAGTTTCCCCCAGAAAACGCTCCTTCTGATATGGTAAGCAAGGCTTATAACTAATCCAGAGACCTAGAATTTCATATTTCAGCCTCGACTACAGCATAGCTCACATGACCTTAATTAGATGCCAGTGTTGTGTATTTTTAAGTATGTATTTGTATATCTGTACTTTCTCATGATGGTTCAGATGACATGAAGAACATTGTTTTTTAATAAATGAAAGGATGATGTTTCCACTAACACAGTTTGCTTCTCGGTCTACATCCAACTTTGTGTGATGAAATTGTGGTTAAGAGTGGTGACGAAGGAGAAAAGGAATAGCCTCCAGTGTTCATTATTGCCTTTCTGGATCTCCAATTGGTATGTTTTCTTCCTGGTCTGATCTGTAGATACATTAAATGCAAAATCATCTTGAACTCAGATGTTGTGAAAATATTTTGTTCCCTGAGGACAGGATGAAAGAAACTATTTATGTGTGTGTGTGTGTGTGTGTGTGTGTGTGTGTAATGGGGCATAGATATATGCTCTAATGGCATGCATCAAATTCATGGAAGTGTTGAAATATCTCACTGGGTTCCTGCTTCTTCTTACCATTCCGCGCGCGCACAGACACACACACACACACACACACACACACTAAAATGTTTACTAGTGGAGTTGCAGAGGGACCTTTTCTACTAAAGTGTCCTGCCTTCAAGGACACTTTAAGTTATCACACCAGTCCCTCTGTGCAATCCAGCAGGTCATAGATGGGAATCTGTTAGGGTGGGCCATTCCAAGGCCCAGGATATGGATCTGGGCGGTAGCTGAACTGGTAGATCTGGGCCAATGGGCCCACCCCCTGAGGTGAGGGGCAGAGCCAGGTCTCCTAGGCTCATGTCAATGGACCAGCAGCTCTCATGCCTGTAGTGAGGGATCTCTCACCACATGCCTGTGGTGTGCCATCTCTCCCAAGTGCTGGGGGTCAGCTCTCCCATGGTAGTGGTGGGGAATTAAGTACTTTCTTAATCGAGGATCCCTCCTTTCAGATAACTCTAGTTTGTGTGTCAAGTTGACATAGGACTACTACGTTGAACCACTTCATTCTTGGAAAGGACAATGCTTTGTCCTTACTGGAGTAGACACTTATTTTGGTTATGCATTTGCATTTCCTGCACATATGCTTCTGCCAAAACCATACACTTACAGAATGCCTTATCCACCATCACGGTATTCCACACAGTACTGCTTCTGACCAAGGAACTCACTTCACAGCTGTAGTAAAAGGGCGGCGGGGCTGCGTCCCCAACACCCCAGCCGCCTGCCCGGCTAGCTTATGCCCTGAAATAATTACATGAACACTGTATTCTTTTAATCACTGCTTGGCCCATTCTCTTCTAGGCTAATTCTCACATATTAATTTAGCCCATTTCTAATCATCTATGTGTAGCACCCCAAGGTGCGCTTACCGGGAAGATTCTAGCCTATGTCCATCCAGGGTCGGAGCTTCATCCCGGGAGCGGGGCATGGCGTCTCTCTCAGGCGTCTGCTCCCGAGAGCAGAGCTGTGGAGTCTCTGAGCTCACTTCCTCTTCCTCCCAGCGTTCTGTTCTGTTTACTCCTCCCACCTATCCTCTAACCAATAAAATGGGCCAAGGCAGTTCCTTTATTAGCCAATGACCTTCCTCCATCACACAGCCAGAGAAGTGTGACAGTGGGCCCGTGATCATGGAATCCACTGGTCTTTTTTTTTTTTTGGTTTTTCGAGACAGGGTTTCTCTGTGGTTTTGGAGCCTGTCCTGGAACTAGCTCTTGTAGACCAGGCTGGTCTCGAACTCACAGATGAAGTAATAAGGGTGGCTGCGGCTGCATTCCCAGCACCCCGGCTGCCTGCTCAGCTAGCTTATGCCCCGAAATAACAACACACAAACTATATTCATTTAAACACTGCCTGGCCCATTCTCTTCTAGGCTAATTCTCACATATTAATTTAGCCCATTTATAATCATCTGTGTGTAGCACCCCAAGGTGCGCTTACCAGGGAGATTCTAGCCTAGTCCATCCTGGGTCGGAGCTTCATCCCGGGAGCGGGGGCATGGCGTCTCTCTCTGAGGCGTCTGCTCCCGAGAGAGCTGTGGAGTCTCTGAGCTCACTTCCTCTTCCTCCCAGCATTTTGTTCTGTTTACTCCTCCCACCTATCCTCTAACCAATAAAATGGGCCAGGGCAGTTCCTTTATTAGCCAATGACCTTCCTCCATCATTTCCCCTTTTTCGGTTTAAACAAAAAAAAAAAGGTTTAACTTTAACATAGCAAAATTACATATAACAAAACAGTTATCAAGTAAAAGTTACAATAATCTTTATCATAACTAAGGAAAACTATAACTATAACTAACTATTCTTAACTCCATCAAAGACTCCAGAAAGATACAATATTACCTAAGTAAACAAGAACTAAGAAACTTCAAACTCTAGAAATGACAAAGACATCTCGCTGCCTGGACAGTCACCCAAAGTTCTTTTGTACCGTTGGGGCATTCATCTTCAGCCTTCAGGCCCACGGTATCCAGCAGACATTTCCATAAAGCAGGAAAATTCAAAGTCAGTTCAGTCACTATCTGTTGTGTCCTGCAGAATGTCTCGCAGACTCTTTCATGAATCAGGAACCCCGAAAGATCATCTCACCTTTAGGCAAGTTCAGTAGTCCTCTCTCTGCGGGTTCTCTGTGTCCAGTTTATGCAATAGTCCAGGCAAGAGCAGTTTCTTGCCCAAATGGCTATCAAACTCCATAAGGTGCCTCTTCGATGCCCATCTTCCTCTTGAAGTACATTGGTGCTGCCAGGAGCAGAGTGTCTCATTGTCATGAAAAGTCCTCAGTTATTAAAACATTAAATGTCCTATTCTGTAATCTTTGAAAGACATGAAGAAAGTCTATCTAAAATATATCTCTATATATGTAGAAAATCTAATTAACATGACTACAAGCTTTACTATTATCGATGATTATCCATTAACAATCTATATTTCTTAATTATACATTACATATTTAAATGAACTACACAATCACAATACCTTAATCAAAATCAGAAACACTTATATATATAACAAAATTGACCTTAAATCTCTATCAATAAAGCAAAATCTATACTAATGCAAATTATTCATATCTATATCATATCCCCCTTTAAATGTAAAAGAACATTTATAAACATTTTTTGGGAATATGGGCGCAGTTATTTCTCTCCAAACTGCTTCCTGCTGAATGGGGGCGTCGTTAATTTGGTCTTTCATGGTATAACCTGTGTGCTAGTTTCATCTCAGTTGGCAGTTGAGCGAAGCAATTTTTTGAAGGCGTTCACACCAACCCTTCAGGAGGGCGTGGTCCATCATACCAAATCGGAATAGAAGAAATGAACAGGGTCTCATCCTCTGTGAAAACAATATAAGAAACTCCTTTCCAAAGCATCATGTCCTTAGATCCAAATTTCAAAGTCAAGGCATCAAAATATCTATGTCGGATTAGTTCAGCAGCATTTATAAATAAATATCTTTTAGCAGCTGTTGCTCCTTCCTCAGCATTCATACAATTCAAAGAGAGCATAATAGCATACAGTATCAAGATTCTCTGTGTATTTTCCATCTTTGTACAGCTTTGTTTTAACCTTTATTTTGTTTGTTTTTACTTTTAACTTTTTGCTTTTTGAGACAGGTTCTCTGTATCTTTGACCTGAAGTAACTCTGTAGACCAGGCTGTCTTTGAACTCTCAGAGATCCGCCTGTCTCTGCCTCCCAGGCATTGGGATTAAAGGTGTACACTACTACACCTTGAACTCACAGAGATCTGTTTGTCTCTGCCTTCTAGACACTGGGATTGAAGGCGTGTGCTACCACACACAACAACTCTCTTCCTTTTTTATGTTTTTTACTTTAAGAACTTCAACTTTTAGTCTGCATATATTTTTAACACACTGTAAACCATTTAAAATTTTTCTTTGTCTTTGAATCTCTCTTTACTGTATATCTCTCTTTTTCTGACCACATGAGTCTTTAATTTACCATGCAATATCAGTAGGATTAAAGGCGTGGCTTTGCCGGCTGGATCCAGCCCATTCCTTAGCTTTTCAGCCTCATGGCTGAGGTACTGGCTGTAGCCAGCAAGCGAGCTTCAGCAGCCTGTGCTTACAAACCGCACAAACCGCCTGCGTAAAAGAGTCAGAGTTTGTCCTGGCAGGACAGCCCAGAAAGCCGGCATTTTTAAATGGCGCAGCTTTTTTCCTGCTGCGGCTGAAAACCGAAAAGCATGCATTCAGCTTTTCGTCAACACCATTTAAGTGTTTCGTGGCAGGACCTCTTAATGAGCTGTAGGATTTTGCAGCTGAAGCTGAGTCAGGAAGCCTCTCTTAGATGAGGTGCTTTCTTGCCTCTAGCAGGAAGAGTAGAACCGAGAAATTGCTGCTACCAAGAAACCAGGCACAATGATTTCATTTTGTTCTATAATTATTTCCCAAGCTGTCTCAGGCTTTATGTGGAAGCAGTTGTCCACGTGGGCGCCATATGAAGTAATAAGGGTGGCTGCGGCTGCATTCCCAGCACCCCGGCTGCCTGCTCAGCTAGCTTATGCCCCGAAATAACAACACACAAACTATATTCATTTAAACACTGCCTGGCCCATTCTCTTCTAGGCTAATTCTCACATATTAATTTAGCCCATTTATAATCATCTGTG